TATCAGAGACAATAAAATTGGCACAGAATAGAGCAGGGTTTAGGGCTTTTGTACATAGGGTCACTATGAGTTACAGATGACTTCACGGCACATAACTAACTAACGGCACATAACACTAACTCTGAAGCCTGCCCTATCATTAGCCAATCTCCAACACACCTACCCCCATTACCCCAATCACTGAGTCAATCCTTATCATCCAGGGTCTTCCTCTCATACACTGTCCTTCTACCCTTCCAAGCATGATGTTCCTCTTCAAGAACTGGTCCCTCCTGGCAACGTGACCAAAGTATGTGAGACAGAGCTTCAATAGCCTTGCCTCCAAGACACCATGGTTTCACTCTCTCCAGTACAGACCTGTTTATTTTCTTGGCGGTTCATGGTATGTTCAAATACTTTTCTCCAGCACAACTCAAAGATGTTGATTCTTCTGTCATCCTTAGTCATTGTCCAGCTCTCTAACACATAGAAGTTGTGAAGACCATGGCCTGAATCAGGTACACCTTGGCCTCTAGATTGACATCCTTGCTCTTTAGTACTCTGGAGAGGTCCTTGACAGCAACTTTTCTCAGTGCAATTAATCTTTTGATTTCCTGATTGCTGGTTAACAACCATTCATCTGACCGAGCTATTTAATTAACAACTACTGAATGTCTCTTAGGAAACTGGTATCTAGTCCATAGGGAGTTGAAATGCTAATTGAAAGGTGGTGCTTCTCTAGTGTTTTAAATCCAACAGGGCTTCTCAGGGAAAGACAGGCAGTTTTTCCCTGGACAATTTACAGCAATGAGTTTGAGTTTTTGAGAATGTCTCTTACTGCAGTATCAGTGCAGTTATTTGGAGATAAAACCTTCTTTTCCATGTGGAAATGATGACTCACAGCAATCTCCTGAGCAATGGAAACTGTCTCTATCAGATGTGGAGGTGGTCCTCTACTCCGCTCTCATCTTCAGGCTTACACAGTAAGCTCTCTGCATCTCCGGGGAATGAGGCACAATCTCCTTGACGTGAGCATCTTGCTGATGGATGGTTCCTTTTCTTGACCCAGACCACAAAGGGACCTCCTTGCTGAAACTCCTGCCCTACCACATCACCAGATTCGTGCAAGTCTTGGCTGGTTCCAGCAGCAGGAGGTGGCCTACCTCCCCCACCACTCGACCACTGAGACCCACTCCAGTGTGGACGCACTCCAGTTGTCAGACCTACTCCAGTGTTGTGAACAGTGGCCAAACCATCACTGCAGCAGGAGGTGGGGCGGGTGATCACATTGAGACCCATCACTGCAGTGGGAGGTGGGAGGCAGAGAACGAGGCCCTTATAGATTTAATTTTTTTTAACTTATATTGAATTTATATTGGTACTTCATTTTATTCTTATGCTAAAAATGAATTATAACAAATCCTAAAGATTGTAAACTTTCTTTAATTATAAAATATGATTATCTCATCAATTTAACCATTATGTCATTTAAATACTATTATATGTATATGCACAATGGCTTTTAAAACACCACGATTCAATATAATCGAAAGCAATATTATTGAATAAAGTATTACTGTGTTTCAGGTGTTTCTGCAATAGGATATAATTTTTTTTACCCCCTCCCCAGGATATAAATTTTTAAAAATTAATAAGATATATATTTTCTTAGTAGAATGGTTCTTAAACTTCCCTTTTACATTGTTCTTCATATCTTAATTGGATATTCTTCTAAAGAATAATTTTATTTAAGGTTGCATATTTCTTTTTGACTATAAATAACATATAGCATATGTCAGAATCAAACATTTGAAGGAGTTGGAATCTTATGAATACATCCAGGACAACAGTGGAGACAGTCATGAACAAAAATATCACAGTCCACACAGAAAACATTTTGACACGCAGTACAAACATAGACCTGCAGTGGAAAGAAGAAAAGAGAGTAGGTAAAGAGAATTTCCAAAAGTACATTAGAATTAGAAAACACTCAATTGCTTTGTTCTTTAATATCCTATATCAACTTTCCCCTACATATCTCCTACTTATACCAATGCCCTATATAGTCTCAAATCTCTTCCTCCCTAAAAACGTCTCTCTTAGAAATGAGGCAATGACTATTTGAAAAAGACATATGAGCAAACAAAGCTAGCTTTGAATGCTTATGAGAAATCACTTAACTTGTCCAGATAAAAATAAGTGCTAACATGAACAGATTTTGTTTCATTTTGTGAAACTGACCTCACAGAATTGAAATATATTTCTTCTTTTAATTGCATCTTTAAAGAACAGGACAAACATAAGACAAATAGAAATAAAATGCACCATCAGTTTTATCAGTATTAGATATACAGCAATTATAAATTTGAGGTAAAATTTATGAGGATGTCATAAACAGGTTAAAATATTATTAAATCTCAAACATTAAATAAAGATGATGTGTTCCTAAAAACTGTCAAGTGAATAAAAAAATAGTCCTAGTAAGTATAATAATATAATAGGGAGCTCTGGTGGTATAGTGGCAAAAAGCTGTGCTGCCATCACGAAGGCACATGGTTATAATCCACCAGCTGCTCTGTGGGAGAAGGATGGGCAATCTCCTTCCTGTAGTTAATTGCCTCTGAAAAGCTGCGGGAGGGTCAGCCATGGATTAGTTCCAACTCGATGGTACACAACAAAAACAACAAATATAAAGTAACAAGCATAAAGGAACTGGTATCATGGCTAATTAATAAGTTAGTTTTAAAAATGAACACAAACAAAGATAGTGATCTAGTTATCTTTTCAATCTACATATTTACACCTACACAAGTTTTTATTATATTCAAGTAGACTCTCTGAAACTTTTTTTAAGCAAAATTTTTATTGAAGCATGAACTGTACAGAAATAGTATCAACCAATTTAAGTCCAACACCATAAAGGGGGAAGTAAGTCACCAAAATTTCCCCTCCTCTATTACACTAGGATTAATTTAAGTACCATCCAATCTCTAGTTTTTTTGTTAGTTTTATTATTAGATCTATAGAATCTAAATATAATCTATATATATTAATCTCATATAATAGAAATATATATGTATCTAAATCTATTTTTTCAGCATAAAATTCTTAAATCTATTTTAGAAAACTTAGACCTTAAGCCAACAATGTCATCAAATCCACTGAGACTCCGTTCAAAAACAAAATCCTCTTTGAGTGTTGGTCCTTAAACCAGCACATTACAGAAACACTAGGTGCTGTGTTACTTACAGAGTGAAAGTGAGTACACTGACTGAATACTCACTCTCTCAATGAAGCTTTCAACTGACAATGTGCTTAAAACTTCTTTGCAACTTTTAGATGTTTTCTTGTTGGCACAATAAGAATGTCACATATTTTTACATGATAATGTAAATAATTTCAAAGTGGGTTATGGTTAAATTTTAATATGGAGGAAAAAAGACTTAATACTTCCAAACTAAATGCAATTTAGCTTGCATGCAGAAGACAATTTAAAGTTTAAAATACAAAGCAAAACTAGAATGCAGAATGGCAAAGCTACTAGTTAAAATATTTTACTATCAAAATACATTTTTACCTACTGTGATTATACTTAAAAGGAATAGGTGATGTGAATTT